CTGAAGTGGCAATGGGCCGGCCATATAGCTCGAAGAACCGACAACTGTTGGGGAAAAAAGGTTCTCGAGTGGCAGCCTCGTACTGGTAGGCGAAGTGTAGGGCGACCCCACACTAGGTGGAGTGACGACCTGGACATGCAGGAAATCAACTGATGCAGGTGGCTCAGGACCGTGCTTTGTGGCATACCTTGGGGGAGGCCTATGTTCAGCAGTTAACATAGCAAACTTAGTTTAATAACGTTTTTGAACTTTGATGATTGACTGAAATAGACAGACAGGAGCGGTGTCAAGACTTTGTTTTAGTATGTTTTGGTTGATTAGTAAGTACTTATACATCATAATAAAATGATTGGGTATTAACATGCTTATCTATGTTATTACATAACGATAAATAGTGAGGAAGTAAGATGTTTTAAACTGTTTGTGTAAGGATTACAAAAACCACAGGCATAATTTAATTGTTATTTATTATTAGCGAAGCCCCCCGGCTTTGCACTGGTGATTTATGGATCTCGACAAGTGCCGTCTACCGGATCCAAATGTAAACCATTTCGGGATCCATTCAAACCTACGAGCACTTAACCCTATAGAGAAGTAATACATGCGAATTTAAAAGAAAACAGTTTTGTCAACCAGTTGCGGCGCGGGGGGAGCTGTGATCGCTGGGAAGTATTCCGAACTATTCCGAAGAGATTCCGAACATGATCGCTAGGGCGTGCATTGTAATGAATTTATGCTTTCTATCGATATTGATAAATTTTTTCGCTTTTTTAATATATACTTTCAGTATCAGTAACTAGCTTTCGAATGTGATTTCAATTTTCCTGTGCAACTAAGAAATACAATTTTAAATGTACTAACTTTTTAAGCAGTATGCTCAGGTAAAATATAAATGCCAACTTCGAAAAAAATTCAAGATTAAATTAAAGGAGTTTAAAATAAACTTTTAGTGATTTGTTGAACTTTAACATAAAAATTTAAATATTTAATACGTGGTAGAGCCATGCTGCAGTTATATTAGTAGTATAGTTGTACCATGAATGGGTCGGCTCGACCGGGGAAGGACCACGCTCTCACAGAATACCAGCATACAATAGTAGCTTTATGCTGTGTTTCGTATAGTGAGTGTAGAGAGCCGGCGACCCTTTTTACTGGAAACGAGATTCCATTCCCCATGGGTGACAGACAACACATTTGCATTTAGATTCGTAATCGAGGATAGATGTAGATGCTATGGGCCACAGCAACCACATACCATCATGTGTAATGCGTGCTCGCTTGTTACCCTATCCTATAAAAAAGCTCCGTAGGAGATACGCAAGATAGTTCGGCTCAAGGTCGAGGCACTACGAGGCAGTACGGAGAGATTGAAAAGAGAATAAAAAAGATTTTCATGTTTATTTATTATATTTATTTTATTAAGTGCTATTATGGATTTTTAAAATGAATTAATTTTGTATATATTCTTCTAACTGCACATTTTCCTTCCAATTTTTGATTTTTAAGTATAAATGTCATTCTTGTGTCAGTATATTTCTTCATTATACTTTTTGTTAAATCAATTATTGGTTTCTTCGGCGTAAAATTGATGATGTGTATACTCCGGGAATAATTGTTCTTCTGTAAAGCTGCTAAGAGCTTTATGGGTCAACAGTTCAGCGGTGATTTTTCCTTTAGAGTCACTATTAATAAAATCTTTCTTGATTACGGACTCGCAACGCCTACATATTTTAACGACCATTTGTGAAGGATAAAGTAACCCGCCATTATCTTTGTGGAATATGAGACTCTTTTTATTTTATTTTAATGACACTAAAGCCTTTATACAGGTATTGCATCAGAGGCAAAAACAGCGTAGGTACTGCACTTCTCTTTAGGCGCCGCTTCTTGTTTTTCATCAAAAAAACAATTCTCAGTAAAATGTTTTGACCACATGACGCTATATTTTGATGGAAACCAATTTTCTCTTTTTGTAACGTTTATCCATTTGTTTTTCATATTACCATCTTTTGGAAACCTATAGGGAAAAATCATACAGTTTAAATAACATACCACTGTTATCGTACTTATCCAAAGGTCATACAGGAAAAGAATAATTACAATTAATATTATAAAGTGTTACTAAGAGTAGTAAATAATAATCTACTATATACCGCACTGCACTAGTCATTAGCGTCACGAGGCTAATTATGATAAGGAGAGATAGACATACATGTTTGCAGTAAATGCAAAAAGGACGGGGAGTGACGCGTGGCGGAACCGTCCAGTTTAACTTGACCCTTGTTGAAAATATTTTGGTAAAATAAAGAAATGTACTTACCGATGAAAATTAATATTGTTTGTTGTTACACTACATGTTTTACTGTTGTTTCCGCAACATTTAACGGCAAAACAAGACATGATGCCGTAAATAGATTTTAATTTATGTTTTAAATGTAAGCCGTCTCTTCGGTTCTAATTTTTGGTCGCTACTGGCGGGAGACAAAAATGTTCCGAAATATATCAGTGACTAGTCACTGACGAGTTGACAGGTTCGGGTCGCTTTGTATTACGTCTCTATAGGGTTAAGTGCTCGTAGATTCAAACACACCAAACATTTTCATCAAAAGTGGTTGCATGGTTTCAAAGTCTGTGTAACGGATATAGTTAGAAACATAATAATAATAAAAAAAACTTTATTGGCATAATTACATTCTTTTCTTTTACAATAAGCTTTTTTACAATAAGTCTAAAATAAGCTATGTACAAATGTTAATTATTATAGGTAGAAACTATAAATAGAGATAATTGTGTTGGATGGGAGAACAAATATAAAAATAATTTTTGGCAAATTGACACATTTTCGCTCAGCTGTTTTGAATTGCGTAGCTCGAGTTCAATTCGAGTTAACTTGAGTCGATTTTCTTCTGAGTTGGCACATCTGTAATACAATTATTTTTTAAATATTACATTATCAGAACCGATAACCAGAACACGTATATCAAAACAATTCTTTTTTTTACGTTTCTTGACTCCGTTTAGATTTTCAAAAAATCTGTAGGCTATTTATAATAATAAATTGGCATCATTTTTTGTACGCTACTATTGAGGGTCGCTAAAACTTCTAGTGGGCTCAAAAATGATTGTCTCCTTAAACTATTGAAAACTGATAACATCTATATAAAGAAAGTGTCACGAAAATATATAACAGTGCAAGACTTGCGAATATGTTTTTTCTTGTATTAATAAAAATTGTAATGAGTATTATATTATAAAATTCATAAATAAATTATACCCAATTTCGTAACAACTCCTAGCAAACACGCTGGTCGCGAAAATACCTACGCGAGTGGCGTCATCGCCTGACATCAAAGGCGTTTCACAACTATAAGGTCTTTAAACTGTGCTATTATTACATAATACCATGCTGTCTGTATACCGTGTAGCGGCGGTGGAACAATATACGCTATCTCATATCATCCTGTGGCTGTCTTAAGCGGTGACAGAGAAACATACCAGGAGATGGGCGGTAGTGCCTTCGTAATAACGATTAAAAATAAAAAACTACGAAAGCCAACTCGCTTGCCAAGCGTGGCAACTATGGCATATAAAGGAGGCCGATGCTCAGCAGTGGCCATTTATAGGCTGTAACGGTAAACCCACGTTGCAGCTATATTATAGTTGTAACATGAATAAAGACTTCACCGGGGTAGAGCCACGCTCTCACAGAGTACATAAAATAAAAGCTTACTACTGCTGTATTTCGTGTGGTGCGTGTCGAAAACCGGAGGCGTTTTTTACTAGTAACGAGGCATTCCATCTTAATCCTCACGGGTGACAACGCATCTGCATTTTGATTCGTAATCGAGGATAGATACCTATGGGCTACAGCATCCACTTGCCATCAAATAAACTGTTTCCTCCGTTGTCAGTCTTATTCCATAAAACAGTTTTACAGTTTCTGTCTATTCGGTGAGTGTTGATAAATATTATAAAATCTTTTAGCGCTCCTTTCTCTGCTGCATGTATATTTGGCAAACAATGTATCCGTAAATTTATGGACAAAAAGCTACTTTATTTATAACATCTTTGCTTATATTATTAACAAGTATAGGATCTAAACAAAAGTGTATTCGATAAAGAATCCAATAAAATTTCTTTTTATATTATCGAATATTTTATAAAAAGTTAATAGCCTTGACGACGACTTTTTTATTATCTATTAACAAATAATTGGTTGGTCGCAATTTGTAATTAGTTTAGAAGTCTTACTTTTTTATCTACTAAGCTTCTCTCTAAGCCTAACGGACTATTAATTGATTTATAAATTTCTATGTAAGGAATAGGCGGATCGCGCTTTTAAATAGCACCACTAAAATGCTTCTAAATTGGTCTTATCATGTGAATAACTTGTTTACATTATTAAAACAATTTTGGTCCCGAATTATCTCAACGTTCATCAAAGACGAAGCTAGGCAACCCCGTGCTGTACGACTGAATAACATTGGTAAAATTACTTCTAATATATGGCATAAGTTTTTCTATTACGTAAAACTTGTCAGGCAAACGTTCTGACAACCGTATCTTTACTTTTTAAATAAATGTATTATTGCTACAAATTGCTCTCGGTTAGGACTTTGACAAGCAGAGCAGATGTTAACACAATGGAAACTTTAATATTTTTAAGTTCTTAGTGTTATTATATAAGTTTATAAGTAACCTCAGGTTTTAACTATAGGCTTTACAAAAAAAATCTCGCGGAAACTGCAGACTACATGAAATATGAGCTGCGGCACTGGCACTCACACCCACAAATAGAGCATAGACACTGACACAGAGCATAAACACACAGACAAACATGCCATCGACAGGCAGACAAACACACACAAGCGTGTGTTAGACACGCGCGCTTTTATAATCAGTGGGTTGCAGGCCTGGTGATCTATTCTACAGTTTTATTCATTGTTTGGACGCCATTCTCCTGCACAAAATTTGTATAAATTTACTTTACTTGTTTAAAGGTATAACGAATATGAACTCGACGGGTTCGACACAGCCCAGCACGCCGAAAGCTCAATCTTACGAATATATGTTACAGCAAAAACTGTCTGCTATATCTAACAGCGTAAGTAGTACACTCAGTTTGTTATACTATGTTGATGTGTTTTTCGTAATATAAATTGTAGAATGCGTAAGGTTTGGTACGGCCCGCGCATTCTATCTTGGCCGGGCTGAATTTAGTCTCGAGTAGCTGTGCAGATATAGTTTTTAGGGACAAAATGGTGACAAGAGGAGTGGGCGGTAACTATAACTAAAGTAGTTACAATTACGTAAATAATCGGTTACCGTTATTATTGATTATGATTCGTTTTTATTTTATATTTGTGCAACATGTCGTTTTAAATACATTGATTATGTGAAAAAAATCTTTAATGCATACACCAATTAAAGATTTTATATAAAATTTATAGTTACGTTACGAGCTTGGGGTTCGTGACAAGAAAAACTGCCGATTGAATTACCAAAATTGACACTTTAATTACCGAACACCAATTACAACTTAAAACACACTAATAATAAAACATAATTGTACTACTGATGACATTAGTTCGCAGTTATATCGCCAATTCAAAACTGACTCTTCTACTGAAACATCTGGAATGTTCGAGTACATACCGGTCCCGGCTGACTAGGTATAGAAAGTTCTAATATGGATTTTTTTAGAAAGCTCTCCTAGTTCTGCTATTCGATACTAGTTGGCGCTATTGGCCATGTACCAGACATTAATTATAGCAATACTGTCCCCTCCTAAGACATGCTCGTCCCGAGCATTATCGGACACATAATAACGCAATTGATAGAATCAGATATTAATTAATTTGCAACCTTCCGCTAACTAAATACAATGGTGTGTCTTTTCTGGAATATTGGTGTTGGGAGTAGTGGTGCCGGGAGTAGTGGTGCTGGGATTAGTGGTGACAGGATTGGTGCTTGCAATTGAAGGAGGACGGGAGGTGCGGAAGATTGCAAATTAATTAATATATTTAATACATAATAACGCGCCAGTCGATCCACATGGACGAGATCTTAATAGCGCCTCTTGCACCTTTCTGTATGCGGTAAGTTACGTCATTGATCATTGTCACAATTCGGTACGGTCCATTCCATTTAGCTTTGCTGCGGACTGGTTTGAGACACTAGTGAACCTTAGTCGAAACCTTTGTGTTCATTTTGCATTTATGCTGGGTTTTTATCTTTTCAGACATTTGTTGGCCCAATTTTCTGACATGCTTATAAATGTTATTCATTTTGTTCCGCAAGTCATTGGCATAATCGGATATACTGCGTGAAGTATCAGGTGGTATTCGTCTGCAGGCAGCCGTAATTCTCCTCCAAAGTTTGCGAAAGCTGGTGTCACTCATGTACTTTCGTGAACAGCGCTTCGATATGACAACAAAACCGGTTGTATGTGCTTGTCCCAATCTTGTTGCCGATTGTCTACAACTTTTGCTAGGCACCTACCTCTCCAATGTTTGATAAAATCGTTCTACCTTTCCATCAGATTGCGGGTGGTAAGAAGTTCTTCTTGTTTTATGAGTACCACTAGATCGGCAAGTTTCCTGGAATATTTGAGACTCAAAATTCCTTACTTGATCACTGTGAATCTCTAAAGGTACTCCAAAACGACAGAAGACTTCATGAACTAGTTTATCTGCAACTGTTGAAGCTTCTTGATTTAGAATGGCGAAGACTTCTGGCCACTTAGTGAAGTAATCCATCACAACCATGAAATATTTGTTACCACCTTCACTTACCCGAAAAGGCCCCGCAACGTCAAGGGCTATCTTCTCCCATGAAGCACCAACACTGTACAATTTCAATGCACCTCTACTTCGAGTCTGAGGTGCCTCCACAGCCGCACAACTTGTACATTTGTGACGTCACGTCAGTGGACCCAGTAAAACCGTTCTCGGATCTTCAGTAGAGTTCGTTTAACTCCCAGATGGCCTCCTGAATAACCATTATGGTACAGCTGTAGATTATCCGGTACTTTAGCTTTAGGGACAACTATTTGTAAATGACATCTGTCTCCCCGACCATTTTCCCATTTACGGCACAGAATTCCATCCTGAATCAGCAAGCTGTCCCATTGTGTCCAATAGTTTTTCGTGGTCGAACTTATCGTTGAGACGTCGCTCCACTTAGCCTTAGCCTGTCCTGAGCATCCCCACAGATACCACTTCCTTACCTTCTTGCCTAATACAATGCTTGCAATCTTCAGGACATTGTCTTCTTGACAATCCATTTCGCAACTTGTCCTTCTCGATAGTTGAACTGCAATAGCCATTTCAGTGCAGCATGGTTCGAGCCAATCTATGAGGGAGGCCTATGTTCAGCAATGGACTTATGATAGTCTGTAATGAATAAAAATAACGTAACTCTATCACGTTGTACGTGGTAGACCACGCTGTAGATACATTATGGTTATAGCACCATCGTCTGATAGAATACCAGTGTAAAATAGAACCGTAACGCTGCTGTGTGTAGAGAACCGGAAACTCGTTTACTGGTACCGAGGCATTCCATCTTATCCTTCAGAGTGACGCATCTGTATTTTGATTTTTATTTCAGGATAAATGTTTATGTCTATGGGCCACAGAATCCATTCACAATCAGGTGGACAGTGTGCTCATTTGTCACCCTTATTCTACAAATAAAAAAGAATATTAATTAATATATCGAGATTTTTATAACGACATTCATCCATCTGTTATTGATTTTTAAACCATTATTTTCCATTGTCGACCTCAGACAGCGAATGGGTGAAATCCCACCCAAATAGATTATCTTATGCCGCTGCTACACTAATTATAGTTCTATAAACAGCTCTATGTACTTTCTCTACATAGAAAAGTTTAAGATATTTACTAAATAAAATGTTTCTTTCAGGGTCCAGTATCACCTCAGTCCCCAATAGAGTACAGTCCAATGCTTTCGCCGACGCAACGTGGAATCCACGCAATACAACCACATAAGGTGCGCATATTTGTCTATATCAGCGATAACAATTATTTTGGTCACTATCATACCTAAAGGAATTCCTCAAAGCACGGTTACGAGCCACCTATAAGAAATAAATATTTATTTAATTTTTAAACACATTTTACATACAAATTCCACATAAATATCTTTCAGTTTGACAATTAGACATATTTTGAATTAAATAAAAACATAGGAGCCAAGCTAGGGCTCCAAACTAGGGCAAGCCCAAGATATGGTTTTGTTGTTTTTAGCAGTTTTATAAAAATACACCAATCTTGATCCGTCTCCACTCTTCAGTTTCATATTCAGTGCTGTCGAGGACGTGTTTAACAAAGCACACAGAAGGCATACTACTGCTAGGTAGATTGTATGACATATGCAATTGCATACCTTCGGTGGCTTTGAAAAAATCCGTTTGGGTTTGCTTGAGCGAAAGGTAAAGATATTTACATACGTGAACAAAAGAAAAGTATGAACAAAGTACAAACAAACTGTGTACAAAATTAAAAAACAAATTATTTGTATTCTAAAACGAATCGTCTCTCTTTCTTAAAGAAAGATTTGATTACGTCCACACGTAAAATGTTGGTTTTCTCAATAAAGTTAAAAGATTTTACATTTTTATTCGCCGATTAGCACTTTAATACACTTCAATTCATCACAAGGAACCCTATTATCCTCCATTTTTACTAAAAATCTTATAAAAAACAATTTCCTATTCATTCGGTGAAGTAAATACACAGAATAAACATTGAAATGTGAAGTGAACTTGCAAACGTATTGCCCGCGCGCCACCGCGCTCGACTAACTTCACACCGAAAGCCCGGCTTAATGCTCCAAACTAATTGCTATATAAAACAATCGTAGTTATATTTCATTATAGAACATTTTGCCACAGGTTATAAAGGAAGCGATCGTCTTCCCGAAAGCCCGGTGAAAGGCCCACGCGTGCGAGTAAGATGACTAATCGCTCAACTGATCTCCTTGCTTTCATTAATTTTGACAGTCCATTGCGTATTCGCTTTGAGACAGAGAGAACACGAATCAGTGTATTTCGAATTGAAAGCAAACTGCCAATTGTTTACGTTACATAATAAGGCTACGAGGTCATGACCTGGGCAGAACAGAGGAGTGCGAGGGAAATTTGAAATAGTTTGAAACAGTTTACGAGTTACTTTATTAGTTGATATTATTGATAGGGCAAGCCCGGCTTCTCGGCTTCTATGTAGGTTTCGCCACTAGCCAACAAAGTTCATACCTATAACATCCAAAAAGGTTCACCTACACAGCTTAATATTGTGACTAAATGCTGCAAAGTTGAGATAAGTTAGTCTCAAAATATGAGTAAACAACGAGAGTATATAATTATTATCATCATTGAAGCTTATCTCAAGTCTATTAAGACTTCATCTAAAGCTGCCACTAAGTATGGCCTTGAGCTACTTGCAGTCAGTGTAGACACTTGACCTTATTAGATCGTTACTCCACCTAGTTGGAGTTTTACTTTTGTTGGAGATATCAGACTGCTATTCTTAGGTTTTCAGGACTGATTCTTCTATTTCCCGTTACATGTTGCTTGGGCGAATTTCTACGAATTTTTCTGTCACCAGGATGGCGCCATTTTAGAATGAGGTGAAATATTTGATAGATTTCATTGGGGAGAAGTTAATTTGTAAGGAAAATGTTGTTTAATGTTTCTTTATATAACGTTGGTTGTATTTTATATTAATTAGATTAGAAATAAATCAAACAACACAACAAACGAACAAAAAAAAAACTAAAAAATAAGAGTTAAAAATGTGCAAAAATTAAAAAGCAAACTACTGAGGCATTGTTTTTTGTATATAGTATATAGTATTCAAGAATTTGAAAAACAGTTATTAAAAATCCCCTCATTGGACAGTTGGAAGTTAAATAATAAGAGAAAATTTAACATTGATAAAATGTGGCAGGGCGAGGTTAACGAAGCGCTTGGCAGTGAAGGTGTAGAGAGCGCAGATTTGGTCGGCCCGAGCGCTGAGGCGGGACACGCGTCGCGCCTGGCGCACTTGGACCACGAACTGAGCAAGATCAGCCTCCATTACAAGCATCCGCCAACAAAGGTACTCCAAATCTTATTTTATATATGAAAATTGCTTAGAAAATTTAAAACATGCCTGAATTCATCTGGTCTTTTTAGGACTATTTTTCGATCCTAAGGTATGGAAAGAAAATTCATATTCAATACTTCGTTATGTTGACTGGTGGTGAGTGCGGAGTGTGAACCTGTGCGTTGTCGTGGTGGAGGAGCACTTTTTTCTTCGCCAAATGGGGCCGTTTTTTTAATTCGGCGTCAAATCGGCCCTTTTTTTAAAGGACAACCACAATCCACCATGTGGCCCCTCCTCCGTTCTCTCCACACTTCACATCAACTCTACCACTCTCGATTATTAATTTGACATAGTACTGCCCTGTGACCGTTTTGCCCTTGTCAATGTATATCACACCTTGCGAATCCCAGAAAACTTTGGCCATCACCTTTCCAGTGGATGGCACAGTCTTCGCCTTCTTCGGAGCAGGTTTACCGGGTAAAGTCCATTGTTTCGACTGTTCCTTGGTCTCTGGTGTGTACCAGTAAATCCATGTTTCGTCAACGGTCACGTAACGACGCAAAAACTGCTTCGGATTGCGCTAAACATAAAATAGCAGCTTAATGCTGCTGTGTTTCGCATGGTGAGAGTAGAGAACCGGAGACCCAACGAGCCATTCCATCTCAATCCTCAGGGCTGGCGGCAATGTATCTGCATTTTTATTCTTATTTGAAGATATAATATGTAGATGTCTATGGGCCACAACATCCTTACTTACCATCAAGTGGACTGTGTACTCGTTTGTCACCCTTATTCTATAAAAATGTTTCGAAAAGCAACCCAGTGTCTATTAAACAAACACAGTTATTACTCCCATGAAACTCATAATAAGTCCTAAGAAATATACCGGTTGAATTTAAGTAGATTTCATAGTGACCTTTTCACGATATATTTTAAATTGTACAAATTCGCATTATTCGACTATGTTTTTGTTTTAAGATGTATTATGAAGCATGCATAAACTTTCATTGATAAAAATAAGTATTACGAATCGAACTAATAAAAATTAAATGTAAATGTAAAAAAATGTAAAATGGAATTAGTCCGAACAATCCCTCAGAGCACTACCCGTAATAAATTCTATAAAATACGCAAAGAGATGCAACATCTCTTTGCAGTGCTAGTGAGTCAGTTCATATTTTAGGACTCTTTCTGTGCTACTAATTACTCTGGGGCCTAGTCCAATAAATGTAACAGCTGTCAAAAATTATTTTTTAGATTTGGTCGAGTATAGTTTAAGTTTTACTTTCGTTATTTCAGGATGTGTTTATGCAACACAATGCAGAGGAACATGACTTGCTTTCTGACAACATCAATGATGGTGCTGACAATGCATATGAAGGTAAATTGACTTTTTCATATAAGATAAATTTATGTATTGCATAATGCAAACTTTGTTAAAGGAAAACTTGTACAAACACTATTATTTTTTGACCATTTTATGTATGAACTTATTTGGTTTAACAATGATATTTTAAAAGTGTAGATACATTGATTGCATTAACTTAAGAGGGTAAATAAAAATTAAAATTAAAGTACATGAAAAAAACATTTTGCAATTCGAACATATGTTACTTACCCCTTCTAGTTGTTACCTTAACCTTGTAATATTCCTTAGTCCACTCAAAAGGGTAAAAATGTAAAACTAAATTCAATGACCCATACTGCAGATATACATTCACCGGCACGGAAACTTGGCCACTCGTGAATTTGCTGATTATTTGCACTGAAACGTTTTTTTAACAGTAAATTAAGGGTAGATGCATTCAATAAGTGTCTCTAATGATTTTAGAACATAGAAATTTAATGTTTACTTCACCGAAATTTTTCTTTTCAAGATAACATGTTTTCACTAAAATTAACATCTTTCCATTGTCACTTTAAAAACACTACAAAGTTAAAAATTAAGTCTGTTTCTTTATTGTCTATCAGTTTTAATATCGGGTGTTTCCTCCTCTAGCCCTGATAACCGCTTGCATTCGATCTGGCATGCTTTGAATGATGTTTCTGACATCAACTTGCGGTATGCTGTCCCAAGCGGCCAGCGCTGCATTTCGGAGCTCATTTAGAGTTTGTGGCGGTTTGGAGCTGGACTTTATCTTTCTTTTGAGCATACCCCATACATGCTCAATTGGATTTAAGTCCGGGCTACGAGCTGGCCACTGTAATTTTTGTATTCGAACCTCTTCCAGATATTCCTCTACACAATGTGCGACGTGCGGGCGTGCATTATCGTGCATGAGGAGGAATTGGTCGTGTCCAATGAATCCCGAATAAGGCATTACGTGCTCCTGAAGAACTTCCTCGATGTATCGAGTAGCTGTAAGCCGATTATCGACGATGACCAACTCTGTACGTGCGTCGGAACTTACACCTCCCCATACCATTATTGAGCCTCCATGGAAACTCACAGTTTGGGTGGTGGTAATGGGTAGAAACCTCTCTCCTCTTTTTCTCCACACTCGTTCTCGACCGTCTGGAGCACGTAAAGCTATTCGACACTCATCTGTGAACAACACTCTAGCCCATTGCTCGTGGGTCCAATTGACATGTTCTCTTGCGAACTGAAGTCGGGCTACTCGGTGCTGTCTGAGAAGTTCTGGACCTCGTGCTGGTCTACGAGCTTTTAAATTCACTTCCTCCATTCGTCTTCTCACCGTACGCTCACTAACATTAACGTCTCTTGCGATTTGGAGCTGCTGGCGTATCTCAACAGCGGTCAGGTAGCGGTTTCTCAAAATCTCCATAACAATAAAACGATCGTCCCGAGCCGATGTGCACCTTACGCCCCCACTGCCTGGCCTGCGGGTGTAGCGGCCTGTCTCCTGGTATCGTTTCAGTGAATACTGCATTGAGGACCGTGGTACGTTAAGCACAATAGCAACTTCACGCTGTGTCAGCCCTTGGTCAATTAATGCTACTGCTTGTGCAACTTGTGCTGGTGTTAATGGCATTTTTATTGGCTTTAAAGCACCTTTAGTTATTTAATTAAGACACAAGATCACAATAATTGAATAACCTTACAGTAAACTTTTCACAACACACAAATTTAAAATGTGAACTTAGTCGCTCAAATGACCCGATTCAACTAAAAATTAAAGAATTCGTCATGGTGCACTTAAACATAATGAATTACCCTCTTGAACTTGAGGGTAAACATTTTTTGACATACTTGCATAACAAACATTCATCAGAAACACTTAAAGCTTTTGCTATCGCGAGATAACCGCTTGGCCAAGTTTCCGTGCCGGTGAGTGTATTAGTAGTATAGTTATATATAGTTGTGGCACGAATGGGTCGGCTCTACCGGGGGAGGACCACGCTCTCACAGAGTACTAGCGTAAAATAGCAGCTTAACACTGCTGTGTTTTGTATGATGAGTAGAGAACCAGAGGCCCTTTTTACTGGAAAGGAGGCATTCCATCTTAGTCCTCACTACAATGCTTTTGCATTTGGGTCGTAATCGAGGATAGATGTAAAGTCGTATTTTTATTTAAACGAAGCTGCCTGACGTTTACTGAGTTGTCAGTTTTTGATGATTCAAAAATAGTGTTGTGACTAAATGACTGAACGGAAAACAAAATGACTGACTGATAAAGAAAACGACTGAATGGTAAAAAAAATATTTTTTTTTAACTGAAGGTTTTAAAAATTACGTCAAGATTTATTTAAGGTACATCCATGTTGTTAGTTCATCAGGCGAAAATTATCTATAGTGTATGTCGTCATAGGGATTTCATTAAAAAAAACTATGCTTAAGTATTATATTTTTTATTTATCGTCTTCACATAAAATATCATCAATGTCACTGTCAGTAATATTTATTATAAACTTGTATGAGGCACTATCGATCATATGGTCGAGATTAAACATTTTGTCTTCTTGTTTTATTACGTGAACCACGCAGCTACTCCATTTTTCGGCAGTCACTTCATTTAGTCCTTCTTCGAAAAGTTTTTTTACATCAGCTCAATGGGATTGAGATCACAATGGTAAGGGGGCAAACGTAAAACAGTGACTCCACGCTCCGCTGCCATCTCGTCCACGGCATACTTGTCGCAGTGTTCATGTTTGTGCTACCGTACAATGTCTATAAGAGTAGCTTTTACCATTTGTGCCTTGAATGGGATATTTTTGCTCGCCATCCACTCTTCTATTCTTGATTTATTCCAAGACATTGTAGGCAGCGATTCTAACTTTCTCGAGTGACAGGGGGCATTATCCATCACCACTACGGAATTAGGTTTTAGTTTGTGTAAAATCCCACTAAACCACTCCTCAAAACACTCAGCATTCATCTCTTGATGGTAATCTTTTCCTTTTTTAGCCTCAAATACAAGTAAGCTATCTTCTACAAATCCTTCTCCGCCTATATGGCCGTTTGCCTTTTACTGGAGGCCCTTTCAAGCCGGTGGTCAACCCTTCTAAGAATGCCTGCCGGGACGATTGTACAGTCTGGTCAATTAATTGCTTCTTCGGTGTATGACCTTCGAGAAAATTAAAAATAGCAATTACTCATTAAATTCACCGGTGGCATGCAATACCCACACTGTAATAGATAAATAAAACAGAGAAAAGTTTAATTACCTTCGTTGACCCAGGTTTCGTCCTTTAATTTTTTTAAGGTATCGCTGACGCCACAAAACAATATCGCGTCTATCTATTAGCACGCTTTTTCTTGATTTTGTGGCGTATTCTTAATTTAAGTGTTAAAATTTTCCTCAAGGAATTCCAAGAGAAATTCAGTTAATCTGGGTCATCATTAACAACCTTAAGAATGTAATTTAAACAGATTATGGGTAAGAAAGTCTACGCAATAGAAAAAAGTCAAATAGAACCTCAAAAAACGCTGTGTGCGTTAGCGTGTGAATATGCAGCTTTGATTTGTGCAATAGTGACGCGACAGTCGTCGTTATGTACACTGTATCTATAACAAGCTTTACGCACACACAGCGCCGCGCGCAAAGATGTAAAAAATAACACTAAAGTTACCTTTCCAATGTTGAGTGCCTCATTTGCATAAAAAACGTGTGCTTTTCGCCTTATAGCCGCTAAGGTGAAATCATATAATTTATTCTTGAAATTATGTCCAAGTTTTTCAGGAAACTTAAATATCTCGTTTTGTTTGTATTTTTTAATACACTAAACACAACACTGTGGTCATACCGATTCCCAAAATTTCAGCTGTGTTAGAAACATTTTTTTCCCCGTACTTCAGTAGGCAATACCGAAGCAGTTTCCTGCTTAAATACGTATTTGTAGACATTGCGTACCATAAGCTTTTCGGTAACGCTAAGAGAAGCCCGTGGTCTCTTCTTTTTTGGGGAAAAAGAGCTTTTGCTCGACGTGCTTGGTTGAGGTTCCATATCGTTTCTACGAAACAATATAAAAACATAATAACTCAACAATAACAAACAACACAAACACAACGTAACAAAAAATTTAACAAGAAACTAAAGAAAAGCAACAGGAGAACAGCGCGCAGAGAAAATATTCGAGCGATCAGACTAGAGTTTAGAAGCCGAATGAATGACAACTTGTCATTCACAAGTCATTGACAAGACAAATGTCACACAAAATGGCGACCGACACGGCGGCCACAGCGTGCATTCCTAAAGTCAGAGCGCCCCCTCGAGTCACAATAGTATTAAATTATTAACAATATTTTTTCTGTTTATTTCATTGATAGATATGATTCGCTTAGACCATTCAATCCAATGGACTCGCCTGCATGATTATTCCTATCTGTGCAAGTGTTGGATTTAAAAATCTTGTGCATTTATAAAAACTGTTTACAGAATCGATTTCGTCAATACAAGAATCGTTACCGTCGTTGTAGGTGCTTTAAAAAAAAAAACCGATTTGTGCGGTTAACGTGTGCAAAAAGAAGTCTAATAGTTTAAATTTACAAAAACATGAAAATACATTCCATATGTAAGTATTTTTATTGTGATATATGCTTTCTTTCCATTACAATCATTTAAAATAATATCATAAATAATGATCGAGAACTTCACCGATAAGATCATCGAGTACATAATATTTCATAAACATCGTAGTGATAATCGAAATGTGAGAAGCGGATTCCCCACGAGGTTAGTTTTATTTTTTTTAAAGTCAACTCTTAGATGCTACTTATTAGGTTTAAAATTGTACACGCAAGCACAACGGCACTCGTTATGAGACTAGTTTAAAATTTACATTAGCAACATATAAACAATAAAAGTGTAACGAGACTACTTAACCCTGCCAGTGGTCACGCCTTATAAAATAACGTAAATGGTCGCGTGGATTACGTATGTAGTCCAATTTAAAATAAGAAAAAGCTTTAAAATATCAATTAGAAGGTATTTTTATTTAATTATAAATATGAGACAGGGTAACATTTAGTCAACGGTTAATCATATTTAATAAACAAAAACCATTTGAGGACTTGTTATTTAAAACATAAGTTCCTCCACTTTTTGTTTTTGGTACTTAGTCTATTTATTTCTGGTATTCATGTTTAACCATGCCTCTTTAGAAGCCTCTGTATTAAGCAACAAACCGACAGACAGTTGTACTTAGCGAAACTGTAAGCGTTCCTTATTCTGTTATTATGGAACCCTAAAAAAACTTGCTACGCTTACCAACTAAAAAGATAACTTTAATTGTTCGAGTGCATTTTGCTAATGCTTGTGAGTTTTTCTCTTTTTCTTAGGGAAACTATCGATATCAATCAAATTAAGTCATCGTATACTAACTGACTGACTGAACGCATCACTATTACAATGAACCTGGCAACATTATTTCACAAAGTGACCTTAGCATCTGTCAGGCAGCTTCGTTTAATTAAAAATACGACTTTAGATTTCTATAGGCCACAGCAACCACTTATCATCAGGTGGACTGTGTGCTTGTTTGTCACCCTTCTTCTATAAAACAAATAATAAAATGGTTTGCACATATTAGCTTCCGAAGCTGGGGCTTTAATTTTTCTATACACTATGTTTAACTATCGACCTCAGAAACTTCCACATTATAGAAATTGTTGTATTCTTTTATTTTATTTCGTTGAGACCCCAGAAAAAGTCGGTCAATGTCAATCAGAGATCTGCAATTTTAAAATTTAATATATGAAACTTTGACTGTTTTTATTTTTACACATTAAATCATATAAAATAATAGTATGTAAAGTACGGCCAACTAGCAGCGATACGAAAGGTCATTTACCTTAAAAATGACTGTGGAGTTGACATTCTATTATCTATCTCTTTCCATCTTGTGTATTTGTCGTAATGTCTCGTTTTCCCGGCAAAAACATGTCAGGGTCAAGACGGGTTCGCCAACATTCGGGAGGCCATTTTAGTAATAATAGTGATTCACTCCGTTTCGGAATGCGCTCGTGGTGATGATGGTGACAGGTTATTTGTTAAAATGTTTGTTATTCTTTGTTGTTTATTTAATTATTGTTATTTTGTTTTATTGATAATTGTTTTTTATTAAGAGTGGTTAATGATTGAGCCACAACCAAATACGTTGAGTGAATTGTGAATTAAACCCCATTGAGTTGATTTGGGCTGATGTAAAGGGGCACGTAGCTAGAAACAATACTACGTTTAAATTTGAAAAAGTTAAGGCATTATTACGTGACGGTAAGTCACGCCTGATCGGTGGAAGAAATGTGTGGAGTATGTTCAAAACGAAGAAGATAAGTTTTTCAAACTTGATTTTATTGTAGATGACGTGACGGATTAATTTATTATATGTGTTACAGACCTAATTCTGAGTCTACAGACTCAGAAGAATCGACGTCTGACTGAATAAACAATGATTTCCTAAAAAAAATATTTTTATCCTCATTTCTATAAACATAACATAACATATCCTCAGTCCTGTATCCCCTAAGGGGTAGGCAGAGATATTAACACCCACATTTTGTCTGATATATTTAAGTCCCTATGTAACAGTAAGCAAGCCTGTTACCATACACCGGGCACACAGTTGTTAAGCAAGCGATATTCAGAACCATTATTATTATTCTCGTTATTTAATTTAAATCTACATTATACAATAATTCAAATTATAACAAAATTTATAAAAAGATTTTTTTTGTTTGCTAGACATTTTTTAAAACTATATTGTCTACTTAAATATATATTCTAACTATCAAAAAGTTACGCACCCCTGCTATTCCTAATAACCTTGCATTGGTTTTATTTACATTTGGTATCCCTTCTCGTTGGCCTTTAAATGACTAATTCTAATTTTTTATGTAGTGTGCTTAGCGCTCACGCAGTCACGCACACAGAGAGCATTGTAGTGCGTCTATATTACGCTGTTCTAGAGCGATTGTGTAGATTGCGACTTGGCATATTTACATACACGCTCTTAATGTAAAAATGTATGCAAAGTTTTCTTGTCTCGTGTTTATTAAAAAATGTGGCAGTCTTCCATGATTCAAATGGTTAGTAAACTCGAGACGTGAGCCTATATTACCTTTATTAAAAAGGTTAAATTTAATTGTGTCTAAAACTACTAAAACCATGCCTTTACTGTACTTTGGTTGCAAGATTATAATATTGCTAGACTTGCAAATACCATCATTTGTCTTATCTTTACTGTGATTTTTCATATCATATTTTCTTATTATATTTTTCTTTTGCAACTAATCATCACATTTGCACAAATAATCATTATTTTAACAATAAATACCTTCGCTATTGTGGTGCACTAGGCATAATTTTTGCCTATGATTTTATTGTGTCTGTACTTTTAAAAATCATTGTGTTTTGGTTATTAATGCTGAATAAGTTCATCATTTTATTATAGGAAACTATTTTGTAACTATTACTGGATATGTCAATATTAAATATAAATATTTATATTATTTAAATTTACTTTTCAAGTGATCATGGATTTTTTCCTATATCACTCGTCTGATCACTTTTTCATAGTATAGTATGTTGTTCAATACACCATTTATGCCATCATGTTACAAAAGTTTTAAACATTTTATAAAGTAAATTTAATTAGTACAACAAGAGGCACAAAGTAGATTTTTTTTAATATTAAATTAAATGTATAACATAAATTAAAAGAAAATAATGGCAGATAATTGTGTAGTGGGCAAAGATGTAAGGTCGAACCACGTAAATTTAGAATAGGTTGGCGAAAATTCTAAAACAAATATTTTGACGGATATTTAAGGATGAAATATTACCATTAAATTATTATAAATTTTATATGCACATATATTAAAACATATACATAATATGTATGTGTTTTATTCATTTGCAAATAATGTAAACATGAGCCCGATAGACTACGGACAACGTGACAACGTTTTACCACAGACGTGCCTCGGCCATACCCTATAAGGGTTCAGTAATGCGTGGTTGGACCCTTAAGCACGCACCTGTTGTAGAGCTGGGCGCGGAGTGGGAGAGCGCTAAGCAACGCTACCGCGTGTCGCGAGCAGCTCCGTGCCGCGGCTACGCACTGTGCCGACTGCTGCCCCGCACGCGAATGCACGGTACGTAGTGTAGTGTAGTGTGATATAGAGAGCTAGACGTCGAGCGGGAGAGCGCTAGGCAACGCTACCGCGTGTCGCGAGCAGCTCCGTGCCGCGGCTACGCACTGTGCCGACTGCTGCCCCGCACGCGAATGCACGGTACGTAGTGTAGTGTAGTGTGATATAGAGCTAGACGTCGAGTGGGAGAGCGCTAGGCAACGCTACCGCGTGTCGCGAGCAGCTCCGTGCCGCGGCTACGCACTGTGCCGACTGCTGCCCCGCACGCGAATGCACGGTACGTAGTGTAGTGTAGTGTGATATAGAGCTAGACGTCGAGTGGGAGAGCGCTAGGCAACGCTACCGCGTGTCGCGAGCAGCTCCGTGCCGCGGCTATGCACTGTGCCAACTGCTGCCCCGTACGCGGATGCACGGTACGTAGTGTAGTGTAGTGTGATATAGAGCTAGACGTGGAGTGGGAGAGCGCTAGGCAACGCTACCGCGTGTCGCGAGCAGTTCCGTGCCGCGGCTACGCACTGTGCCGACTGCTGCCCCGCACGCGAATGCACGGTACATAGTGTAGTGTAGTGTGATATAGAGCTAGACGTCGAGTGGGAGAGCGCTAGGCAACGCTGCCGCGTGTCGCGAGCAGCTCCGTGCCGCGGCTACGGACTGTGCCAACTGCTGCCCCGCACGCGAATGCACGGTACGTAGTGTAGTGTAGTGTGATATAGAGCTAGACGTCGAGTGGGAGAGCGCTAGGCAACGCTACCGCGTGTCGCGAGCAGCTCCGTGCCGCGGCTACGCACTGTGCCGACTGCTGCCCCGCACGCGAATGCACGGTACGTAGTGTAGTGTAGTGTGATATAGAGCTAGACGTCGAGTGGGAGAGCGCTAGGCAACGCTACCGCGTGTCGCGAGCAGCTCCGTGCCGCGGCTACGCACTGTGCCAACTGCTGCCCCGTACGCGGATGCACGGTACGTAGTGTAGTGTAGTGTGATATAGAGCTAGACGTGGAGTGGGAGAGCGCTAGGCAACGCTACCGCGTGTCGCGAGCAGTTCCGTGCCGCGGCTAAGCACTGTGCCGACTGCTGCCCCTCACGCGAATGCACGGTACATAGTGTAGTGTAGTGTGATATAGAGCTAGACGTCGAGTGGGAGAGCGCTAGGCAACGCTACCGCGTGTCGCGAGAGGCTCCGTGCCTCGGCTACGCACTGTGCCGACTGCTGCCCCGCACGCGAATGCACGGTACGTAGTCTAGTGTAGTGTGATATAGAGCTAGACGTCGAGTGGGAGAGCGCTAAGCAACGCTACCGCGTGTCGCGAGAGGCTCCGTGCCGCGGCTACGCACTGTGCCGACTGCTGCCCCGCACGCGAATGCACGGTACGTAGTCTAGTGTAGTGTGATATAGAGCTAGACGTCGAGTGGGAGAGCGCTAGGCAACGCTGTGCTGAATGCTGCCCCGCACGTGAATGCACAATATGTAGTGTAATGTAGAGCTGAGCGCGATTGGGAGAGCGCTAGGCGTCACATAACAAATGAAACTACACCATACGGAATCCGCTGGTATTTTCTGTATACTGGTACGGTGTTTATTGAAAAAAAAAATAGATACATAACAAGTGCACCGATGACACGGCGAACTGTTCACTATTAATTACTTTCTATTAAACCTTTTGAATTTGTAGGATGACCGAGTAGCCTTTTTGATGTTACATTGTTCTCACCACGTATTAGGCACAAAAGAAGTAATGAACGAATGTACACCGTGTTGCGCTTCGGCTGTTTGAGTTGAGTCAATTTCGTAGAGCTTTTTACCTTCGCTTCGTTATGTACAAAACCTTTTTAGATCTTTTGACCAGCGCCTGGCACTCTTTTAATGTAATTTATTTTGTCAGGTTCCATTCGTCAAAAAATTCGCAAGAATGGTAATAACTTTTTTTTGTTACAGCGAAAGACTCGTCGCACGGCTTCGGTGAGAACGGTTTGGATGAAGTGTCGTGCGAGCATAGCTCATGGTGCGAGGAGGGAGGTGAGGAGACGGAGGGCGGGGAGGGTGCGGAGGGTGAGGAGGTGGGCGACACGTACGTGCTGACGGACTCGGCACGCGCGCGCTGCTACGTCCTTACGGACGCGCTCAGCGGCCGCACGGCCACCGTGCTCGACCCCGCGCCGCTGCAGGTATGCCACCTAGATAAGGTTCAGCTTACAAAGGCGCGAGCACGCCATGCCTGGTGAATGCGTTTGGTGTACGTGTCACCACCGTGCCCAATCTGCGCCACTTCAAGGATGCGTCATCTATATATTATAACGTGGATAGACCCACACTGAAGCATTAAATAGCTGCAGCACGAATGTATCAGCTTGACCAGGGTGGGACCACACTCATAATACCGTCATGAAGCAGCAAAATAATTTTGCTGTGTTTAGTGTGGTTAGTGAGAGAACCGGAAACCCTTTATACCCGTAACGAAGTATTCCATTGGTCCTTAAGGATAACAACGCATCTGGACTTTGATTCTTAATCGATGATAGATGTAGACGTCTAGAAGCCACCTGAATTCATTTACTATCAGGTGGACTGTATATATAAAATATCTTGTTTAATGAAGATCATTTTACCGTGATTTTGACTGTCGACCTAAATGTAAGTAATATTTCGCACGTAGTGGCCCGCGTGAATACTTGCATTATATGATTCAGTCAAACCTCACCATCCACGGTAACCGTGGACGCAATCGAGGAGTCTAGTATTTTGCCTCGCGAGCAACACTTCCGTTTGATATTTGTGTACCCGAATCTATTTGGCAACTCAATCTCATAGCAACATACACGGATTCGTTCAAAAACTTCTCGGTCCTTCAGTCAGGATAATTTTATTCTAAGGATATTTTTTGAAGGTGTTAAAGATGCAATCACTTTAGTGTATTAAAATATAAATATAAATAAAGGAATTATGTTATATAAAATAAGGTAAAAGTAGCAGGATTATCTTAATAGAAGTGAAATTTCACAGAGCTTATTTTAAACAAGTATACTTTAATTATCGTAAAATTTCTAACAGGGAGAAACGAAACCGAGCGCAGAAGAATTAGAAGACCGAGAACGCAGTTTCTTAATTCTTGATCCGGTGCGCGATATGACGTGTACAGTCATTAGCCGTACTTTGGACTTAGAGAAAGACTCCGCTTTCGAGGGCTTCGTCGAGGGCTGCTACTCGCAGGAGAGCGTACCAGAGGTAAGGACATATAATGTATTTACATTCTCCATTATTATTTGTACCTTATATTTTATTACGCTTATATTCGAGGCTAAAACATTGAAGTTATATGTACTATGGTACTAGAAACACCAAGACTTGTTCTTTTGTGCGTGGCGCTTGCCGCTATGTGACACGTTTGAGGGTTAAGTTAAATAAATATGCTTTCATGTGCACTGGGGTACTGTGTAAACCAATCGAGAGAAAAAAAGGTCAAGTGACTCCTTGCACTTAATTTTGCTGTATTATGTATAAAACGCAGGAAAATTAATTATATTTATCAATTCCCATTCGTGGGAACTCCTGTATGAACTGACTGTAGTGATTATTTTATTTGTACGCTTTTTTCAATAGCTTTGAAAACTGCGGAACGGATTTATGCTTTTGCAAAGCTACCTAGATATGAAGCCAACAAGTGCAAGAGATATGGTTGAGTATGACTCGATTCCTCGTTCAGTTCGTTGCGTTTGCGTGTTATTGTCGTATTATTGAAATCATAATGTTTGCAGACCTGGAAATATTAAGCACGCGAAAAGTGGCAGTTCCATCTAGTTTACGTTCGGTGTAGTCAATTTAATAGGTCGTGTCGGGCGTTTTGGCTTGTATGGAGGAGACACTGCACACAACAAACTTATCCTCAAAAAATTACTTGTTAAATAAAATAACATCGCTAGAGGTATAAGTATGTTAGCATCATATACATCATCGACACACCATAGCGGTGTTCAGTAGTTTCCAGGTTCACGCGGACCACAAGAGGTGACGCGTTGCAATGTCCACCTAATTTTAAGTCACTCTTGTAACAAACATTGTACAGTTGCTACTTTTTGTAATTAATAATTTTACTAAAAATTGTTTTTTTTTATTCTGCGTCTGTTCGGTAGAATTAACGACGACGAATCAACTTAGTAATCATAAGTGAATCAAAATACGAAATGTCGGATAGACCTTACATTACACAACGTCAAAGATAGGATTGTTTGTACTTAGTATACTTCCTTAGATTTTTTTCTTGTTTATATTTTAAAAGGTTAAATTGTAACTGTTGGGAGAAAAAGAGTCTACCGTGAAACCTGGCAACTTTTGGAAGGACTTAAAATCTAGGACCATTTTTCCAACATAAAAGGTACTCTCAGACTGCGCTGATGTTTAATGTGACATTATATTCTTCGTAGATATGGTTTTTATTAGTGATTTAAAAAATACTAACATTAAAGATTAGACAAAAATTATTTAATTAACCTAACTTTGTGGCAACTTTGCCTTAACTTCTTTGATTTAACTTCAAGGATGAAGGTAAGTTTACCACAAATATAATAGACAACACTCATAATAATGATTTGCTCCACTAATTGTGTTGCAAGTAACAAAGTTTACGCTAGTGGCAAAGTTACCCACTCATTATTAAATTTTTCATATAAACTTAAAAATATCTATCGGGGTTGTCAGTAATCCTCCTTGATTACTTAATTTTTTAAGGTAAAACTTCTTTATCGACGTATTGAAGAAATTTAGTACGGTATTAAAAAAATCGCGTTTTCTCGTAACGTTTTTTGTGTATAACCTACTTATGTAAAATATAAAATAAAAGAAGAATGATATTACATTTTAATTGCACGCACAATTTTAAGTCACAATAATTACTTAGGCAAAAACCTAAAATACTGGATGACTATTTTTAACGTCTGGAAAAAATTGGTGTAACAGGTGAACGGAGTAGAAGCTTACGGCACTGATATTTTACAAAAACTAAAAACAAAAATATGAATAAAATAAATAAATCAATTTAACTCTATGGAAATTCAAATCATATTCACTCTACTTTACGAACGGCAATAAAACAATAAATGTAGGCATCTTTGTCAATGTCCTTTCGCACGGTGATAGGCTCAAGGGAAAAGCCGCCTGCGCGTTTAACTCTCATTTTATTTACCTGTAGTTAGCACAGAACAACTATTACTCCTATCGGAGAAGAACGACAACTTCATACAAAATTTAATAAATGAGATATATATAACCACTCCCTATCGTCAGCCTCCTGCACTGCTCGTGTGGCGGGAAAATTTGAATGTGGTCTTGTTTGTTTTTTTTATTTGAGGTATTTTTGGGTTGCCTATCCCAGCGCTAAATAAAAGAACAAAAATTACAAAATTTCTATTTATTTATTCAAAATAAAAATACAAATTAAAATAAAAAACATACATAACTTAAGAAACAAAATTTCTCCAGCAGCTTAGTTCTTTCTATAAAGACCTTTGATGGGCTTAAACATGAAAAGAAAATCAATATTGATTACAACATTTCAATTACTTAAGTAAACAATGTTAAACAATTTAAATAAGATTTACAATCATGGATGAATTGATAATACGCACAATCAGAAATCACAGAATGTCTACAATAAGCAAAATATCAATATTTTAATCAAAAACAAGTTAATTAATAAATACGCTCCTACATACAAGTGCAAAGTGCAACATTCACAAATAATAATTTTGAATTGATAATATTTGGTTGTCTATCTATTTCCCTGAATTGACACTAAAAATTTTGTCTCTATATTATATGCAATATATTAAGTATTGAATGCAGCTTATAAATAGAATAATTTTAATTCAAAATTATAAAACATATTAAATATTAGATTACAAAAATATTCCTTATTTCATTTTAAAAATTTTCATATAGAGTACTTTCTTTTTCAGGTTCAACATTATGTGTTATGCTTTGATGTTTGTGGTTGTTCTTTAGTGGATATAATGTTGTCCTTTTTGAAGATCCTGCTTGTGGTTTTGCAGCAATAATTTGCGAGGGACCAGCTTGTGATTCCAGAAAATAAAATGGGAATACACTTTGTTAGTAAATAAATAAAAACTAAATAAATTATAGTATCATAAATATTATAAAAATTAAATTAACATTATTTTCATTGACATTACTTTCATAGTAAACCAGTCCCTACTCATGGCACTACATTACCCTTCAACCAATACAAAATAAATGAATGGATCTTGTTCATCCAACTTGCTCTATAATACACACACTATTACAATTAATATAACAAAATAAAATAGTAAATACAATAACTATGTGAAAAGAAATCTTGTGTTTATCTATTGTTTGAGAACCATTTGATGCATGTATTTCTACTGTGTTGTACAAGTTGTGCCTTTAAATTTGATAGGTTTAGGACCAAATGTAATTATTCATATATTGTGATGCCGGAACTTTCTTAAGGTGGATGCGTCGACCGTCCGCCCATACATTTTTTAACCAAAATATACACTAAACACAGACACTCTTTCTTTAAAACAAATCATTTTATCACTTCTCTACAATGAAATGTGTACGCCTCTGACCTTTATAGACAATAACTTACATTATATACCGAGAAAAACAATAGTGAAATCCCGGAAAAATTTGACACTTCTTTAGTAGTGTGCGTGACTTTTGACAAGCAAACGAAAGGCACGTTTAAACATTGGCACGCTAGATGGCATCCAATTGATCTTAAATAATTCTGATAAATCAATATCTTAAGTTCAATAATTGGTTAATTTCCTTTCCAACCGTTAAAAAAACAGTATAAAATAACATAAAACTAATGACCTTAGACACCTATGTTTTTTTTGTAAACTATTTTATTACTTATTATTGTTTTGTGGCATACCAAAAGTCGTAGGTAAAGCGACGTTGCCGTCCTTCAACAAACTGCCGTAGACAGAGAAGTCTACGGTACTAAAGAACAAAGCAAGACGGAACAAAAGCGTTGCCAAAGTTACGTACGTTCACTTGTTTGACTTGTATAATGTCGCCTCTACACGTTGGCCAACACAGTGACGAATGTAGTGGCGAATATATTGGCCGAGAGTTGGTGACGGCGTCCACACGTTGGAAGGTCGTTCAGTTTACTTCGGTTCGGGCCAATGTGCGGAGTGCGGACGGACGACGGCTCCGTGGGGCAGTGGCTTAGCAATGAGTGGCTGTGCCGGGGGCCGCGGGTTTGAATCCCGCACGGAACAAGTATTTGTATGTCCTACAACTAATTGTTCCGGGTCTGGATGTGTGTCCTTGTGCAATTTATGTTTGTAAACTGCCTCCGCGATACAGGAGAAAATCCAAGTGTGGGATAACCTTTTTATAAAAAAATTATAAAAGAATAGTTGATATTTATGGGGCTGTAAATAGATATACGATATACGATTAGCTTTATTTATTCTTTACATGCATCAGAAACTGGAATAAATACATTAATTAGAACTTAACTTATTTTAAAGTTAAAGGAGTTATAATCGATTAGTCTATGTTTTAAAATTGGGTTTTGTTTTTAAAGTTTAGCAAAACATGTACTTGCTTTTCTATCAGACATTTGATCTATTTAAAAACACCTTATAATTTATTTGGTAATTTAATTATTTTTTGAGAAAGACAAAAACAATGGCAATAAATATAATTAACACTGACTTAATGATAGGTACTAATTATAACTTAGAACATAAATGAAAAACTCATGACAAGCAAAGTGGCTCAGGACCATGCTTTGCGGCATTCTTTGGAGGAGGATGTTCAGTAGTGGACTTGTGAAGAGCTGTAATGATGATGATGATTCGAAAACTTGCACGATTAAATTATAAGAAATCGACGCTTTTTTATATAGGATAGGGTGACAAACGAGCACACAGTTCACCTGCTGGTAAGTGGTTGCTGTGGCCCACAGACATCTACATCTATCCTCGATTACGAATCAAAATGCAGATGCGTTGTCACCCGTGAGGACTAAGATGAAATGCCTCGTTTCCTTTAAAAAGTGTCTCTGGTTCTCTACACTCACTATACGAAGCACAGCATTATTAAGCTACTATTTTACATTGACATTCTGTGAGAGCGTGGTCCTTCCCCGGTCGAACCGACCCATTCGTGCTACAACTATACTTCTAATATAACTGCATGGTTCTACCACGTATAAACGACGTGCTTCA